ATATAAATAAATATAGATCTAGCACAAGAAAAAGGAAAAATAGGAAAATATTTCCTCTTTAAAGTACAGTGAATTAATTTAATGTATAAGGCCAATAAAATAATTGTTACTTCTGCCAGATGGCATTTTACATTTTGATAAAAAGATATATTCTTAATCATATATGTCAAGGAAAAGCGACCATATGTTTTTAAACACTTCCAAATTGTCATTTAACTTAAAAGGCACTACTGATGTTGCCATAATTTTTTTTGGTGATGTGGCCTAAGTATCCTTTGTGTCAATAAAATGTAATAATCTCAAGTAAAAAGAAAAAAAAAAAACAACTAAGAAGCACTCAAGACTATTAAGGTATTGATTTAGCCATTTAGCATCTTACGCAAAAGAAATTATTATTGTAAAATTCAGTCGATGAAATTTATGTTAATTTGTGAACTGCCATCTCCCATATCCTTCAAGCATGTTCTTCTTCCCCTTCCCTATCCCCTCTCTCTCCTCAACCTTTTGAAATGATACTTTAATGAGTAAGGTTAACGTTTTGGTTCCAGGTTTTTACAGTCTCCTTGCTTTTATACTGAATGAAATTTCCATCCACCAAAACAGGGTCCAGGATAGTTCTAAGAGCAAGGACCCAAAATCCTAACTCCATGAGGGCAGGAACCATGCCTGGTTTTGTTCAATGTTAGTATTCCCAGTTCTTGGGACAATGACTGGCATACAGTGGATGCTTGATGAATACTCGTAGAATGGAAGGCATGTTTTCAGAGAAGAGGAATATTTGTTTATGAGGTTAATTAGAAATGACTAGATTGTGTTATCATTTTTTTTTCTTTTTAAAAGCTCTACATCCAACGTGGGGCTTGCACTCATGACCCCAAGATCAAGAACTGCATGCTCTACTGACTGAGCCAGCCAGGTGCTCCTTGTCATTTACATCTACACGTTTTATGTTGGTTTCCATTAAATACAAAAGAGACAGACTGGGAAATGGAGAATACCCACTTCTGCATATATACCAGTCTTCACAAACAGAATTCTAAAGCTACTTGACAAAGGAGATTTTTATTTAAATCTCAGTACCTTCCTCATCTCTGGCCAAATCCTCTATCCACGCTTCTCCAAAACCCTAAAAAGCGTTCATCGTTAGACCAACTGTTAGTATTTTACAACCTTACAGCGTTTAGTGTAACACCAGGAATGGGTGTTGAAATCATGTTCGTTGGCCCTTTCATTGTTGGGATCTTTATTTTACTGCCCTCCCTCCCCGTAAAATAGCTCAGAAACCTTATACAAATTACCTTGCTTACCTGCACTTGGCTTCCCAAAGCAAGGATTGTAAGAACAAATGAAGCGGCACGTCTTCTCTGCCCCTGGCTGTCCCTCTCCTCATTTAATTAGCAAAGGGAAATCATCACAACTGAAAACTAATCATCAATTAAAATGAATTAAGAGTCCACTGCACTTAAACCAGGGAAGGAAACATTTCTAATTAGCAGGGAGTAAGCGCAGAATAAATAAATCTCCTACGTATTAGGTGGGTTTTTGCTCACGGATCTCTGAGAGTATTGTACTTGGGTCCACCGTAGGTGACAAGATTTAACCAAACTCAGGCACACTACACATGTGAATGCCTTTAATAGGAATGTATTTATTAAATTTTTTTTTTTTCCAAACGTTTATTTATTTTTGGGACAGAGAGAGACAGAGCATGAACGGGGGAGGGGCAGAGAGAGAGGGAGACACAGAATCGGAAACAGGCTCCAGGCTCTGAGCCATCAGCCCAGAGCCTGACGCGGGGCTCGAACTCACAGACCGCGAGATCGTGACCTGGCTGAAGTCGGACGCTTAACCGACTGCGCCACCCAGGCGCCCCTAATAGGAATGTATTTAAAACTTGTCTCAACAATAAAGTCGCCATAAGGAGCTAATGAGTGACTTTTGCTTCGTTACTATAGGACTCTGAGGAGGAGGAAAATGATCTGGAAGCTCTTAACAGGAAGCTGATAAGTTCACAGCCTTACGTGCCCGTGGAGTTTGCAGACTTCAGTGTTTACAATGCCAGCTTGGAGAACAGGGATTGGTTTTCTTCGAAAGTAGATTTGGTGAACTCAAGGGTCCTGGAGAAAGAAGTGTCCCGTAGCCCTACCACCAGCAGTATTACCAGCGGCTACTTTTCCCACAGTGCCTCCAACGCCACTCTGTCCGACATGGCGGTCCCTTCCAGTGACAGCTCGGACCAGCTAGCCATTCAGACAAAGGATACAGACTCCAGTGAGCATTACGGACCGTCCCTTGGGCATGATTTCAGGCCGTCCTCAAACAAAGAGTTGACAGAACTAGAAAGAGGCTTGCTTAAAGAGAAGATAATTATGGTGCCACTCAAGGAAAACAGTGCCTTAGCCAAAGGGAGCCCATCACCCCAAAGCATCCCTGAGAAAAACTCCAAATCCCTCTGTAGGACTGGCTCCTGTTCAGGGCAGGATGCCTGCTCCAACCGAAATGGCCAACCAGTCAGAGAATTTTGCCCCAGGGAAGTGACCATAGAGCACACCACAGATATCCTTGAGGACCATTCTTTCACAGAGTTTATGGGTGTGTCTGATGGGAAAGATTTTGACGGATTGACGGATTCTTCTGGAGAGCTTTCAAGTAGAAGAAACCTACCCAATAAAATGGACAGGAAGAGTATCTCAGATGGGCCACAGGGCCCTGCCCAGCTGCATTCCTCAGCAGAGAATGAACAGGTAATAAATTCCAGAGGCAGTCCTCTGTGTTCTGTACTGTTGGGGAGCCTGCCTGATTGTGCACCGACCCCCAGAGGTGCTTCACCACAGGACTTAGTAGGAGAGGTTCACTCAGATGCTTCTGACGGGGAAGATGGGCCCGCTGGAGCGCAAACTCACTGCTGCCCAGCTGGCTCTGTGCAGTGTCCGATGGACGATGGAATATATGGGACCAGTGGCTTTTTTTTTTATAACTTCTTTAGGTTAATTAATCTATTTTTTATTTATTTTTGAGAGAGAGAGAGACACAGAGCATGAGTGGGGAAGGGGCAGGGAGAGGGAGAGAGAGAGAGAGAGAGAGAGAGAGAGAAAATCTGAAGCAGGCTCCAGGCTCCGCAATGTCAGCACAGAGCCCTTCTTGGAGCTTGAACCCATGACCCATGATCTCACGAGATCATGACCTGACCTGAAGTTGGATGCTTAACCAACTGAGCCACCCAGGTGCCCTGGACCAGTGGCCTTTCTAACAGGCATGTGGGTTGGTGACGAATTAAGCATTCACATGACTAAAGATCATTCAGTCTCATATTCCGTTCCCTGAGATGTCTAATTACTGGTATCCCAAGGCATTCAGGTAGCATCTACTGTATTTCGTGAAATCTGTGATTTCTGTAATTACTAGATAAACCATTATTTTATGTATCACTGCAAAAAATACTTCCAATGAAATCACATTACATTAGTAAATGTGTAAGACACATCCCAATTTCAGAGGTGTTAAAAAGGGGCGTGGGGGAAGGGAGGCATGCATAGTAGAATTGATTTAAAAAACTGTCATTTAGTGCCCATAGGTAAAAGCATGTTTGGGGGAAGTATAGGTGAATTCCCAGAGGAGTTGAAGTTTGGGCTTTGGAAGTGACCAGGTTGGTTATAATGTTTAATTTCATAGTTTAATAGTTTAATTTTTTAGTTTAATTCCCAAACTAATGGAACAGAGTGGATGTTTGCTAACACTCGTAAGGAAAATAGCAAATTATATAAATAAGAGATTATCCACTTCTGGGGGCTGGGCTCCTGAGAGCCACCATTTCTTTCCATCCAGGGTCACTGTTTTGGTCCCACACCCCCACTGCAGCTGAGTGAGGGGTATGGGAGGGCCAGAACTTAGCAAAACAAAGAGCAGACAGAACTAGAAAAATAATCTAGAAAGATATGATGTCATTGGTCTTGGCTTTGCTGACGAAGTTATTCTGGTTTGGTGGCTTTTCCCCCCCGACAAGCTTTACCCCCTTTTCATACTAGCCCTTAACATTTCAGTGTGTAATCACTTACACAGCATACTCCTAAATGAACTGCAAAACCCAGACGGTGATTTCTTGCAATAAAAACAAAAGACTTTCTTCCCCCAACATAAGACTAAGAATAAAGTTACTTGTTACTGTTCTTTGCCCATGAAACAACGACCCGTTTGTTTAAGAGCCTTTGGCTTCCTTTGCTCTGGTCTTCAGGCAGAATCTGCATTGCTGGCCTGGATCAGCCTTTCGGTCCTTCCTCCGTGAAGTCCAAGGGCTAATTCTAATGCTTCTCAAACCTAAGTGTGCAGCAGACTTCCCGAGAGGTATTGAGGGTGCCTCTTCAAAATTCAGGTTCCCAGGAGCCGCTGCTCTCCTCTGCTGACTCGCTGCTTCAGTGCAGTGCAGAGGGGGGGGGGGTCTGTCTTCAGAGACCCCTCTGCTGCAGTGATATTAGGGGGTGGCCGCGGGCTTACAGAAGAGGAGGAGACAACAATCCTTCCCCCTTGTTCCACTGATTGGATTACGTAGAACCAACAAACGGGAACAGGACCTGATTTTTGTTTTCAGAGGCTCCACAATAGTGTGCTCCTGCCAAAGATCCTGCCTTTTAAAAGTGGAATTTACAGGGGCGCCTGGGTGGCTCAGTCAGTTGGGCGTCCGACTTTGGCTCAAGTCGTGATCTCACGGTTCGTTGAGTTCAAGCCCCGCATCGGGCTCTGTGCTGACAGCTCCAAGCCTGGAGCCTGCTTCGGATTCTGTGTCTCCCTCTCTCTCTGCCCGTCCCCCACTCACACTCTGTTTCTCTCTCTCTCTCTCTCTCTCTCTCTGTCAAAAATAAACATTTAAAAAAAAAGGTTTTTTTAATAAAAACAATAGAAGTGGAATTTACAAAAATATTTGTTGTATCAGAGTAACATGGGATTATGGTGATTTGTTTTAATTTTTTTAATGTTTATTTTTGAGAGAGACAGAGTGTGAGCGGGGAAAGGGCAGAGAGAGAGAGGGAGATACAGAATCCGAAACAGGCTCCAGGCTCTGAGCTGTCAGCACAGAGCCCGATGTGGGGCTCGAACTCGGAAACGGCAAGATCATGACCTAGGCTGAAGTCAGACGCTTAACTGACTGAGCCACCCAGGTGCCCCTGTGTTTTTGTTTTTGTTTTTTATTGCTTTAGTGTTTTTGTAATACTCTTTGGTTTTAGTAAGTTGTGACAACACTTTTTTACTTAACTTTGGGTTCTTCTTCAATAATACTTTGCTAGAAGCCACCGCGCAAGTGTTTCTCCTTTGTCTAGTGTGAATCCTAGAACAGACTCCACATAATAAAGTGGATCCTATGGGTCCCTTCAGGGAGAGCCCCTTGAGTGGGTGATGTCTGGCTGTGAATGGGCCCTGTGTGTATGTGGGGTGTGTGTGTGTGTGTGTGTTGGCATTGGGGGGAGGGGGGCGGGGATCAGGAGCTCGAACTCACCAGGGTCTGCATTCCAGGGCAGCGAGAGCACTCGGTGAGCGCCAGCCTCCCTCAGAGGGCTGGCCACACACAGGCTGTCTGCTATGTGTCTGCATGGGCCTGTGAAAGTTCATTCAGTCTCCATCTGTGTAAAACATGCCATGCCAGCCGGGGACCCCCCCAGACCAGCGCGGGAGGAAGCTGTTGCTGCCAGGCCACCTGCCTTCTCCTCCCGACCTATTGAGAAGGCTGGCACTTGTCACTTGGGAACGGCAGCCTCTGCTTTTTCCGGAAAGCCAGAGAACCGAAAATCCTGGATTGGACTATGGTGGGTATTTTTACTTTTTTGTAAATTTATTACTACACACACCCACTGTGTAGAAACCTCCACAGATTCAAGCGAACTTTATTCTTGTACAATTTAACTGCTCATCGTGAATCTGGAGTCCTGTGTTTCTTTTTTTTTTTTTTTTTTATAAATAATATATATGATGTATATGAAATGTATATCTATAGTATGTCTGTTTGGAGACAGACAAGACTGCACACGAAAATGCAGATATGAGTGGTTTCTAGAAAATCATAAGGTACTGGATTTGGTTACAAAACCACTTAGGTAACCGCTTATACATGAGCAGATGAAAAAGACCTGATTGCCTAAGAATGAGGTTGCGAATCCCTCTTTGCAGAAAAGGTTACAGAATGCCGTTCTTTACAACCAAAGAACTTACATAAGACTGAACGTTTTTGCTGTCCCCTCGTTTTGTGTGTACATATATGTCTGACTGTGAGTTTGGTGCCACACTCCTCTTGGCTACCAGGCCACATGTAGCTGTTCTGTGTCCTGTTTCATAAAGCACACTGAAAAATCTCACAGCTATATTCCTTAGTCTTCCACCCGGCCACCGCCTGCTGGTGCGATGTTGTAGGGTAACTGTTGACAATGCCTGGGGCTCCGACTCCAGCCTTCCTTACCCCAGGGTTGTGGTTCGGCCTGGCCGGCAGGGGGAATTCAGAGAGCAGTATTACTGTTAAGAGAACACAAGGACATGCCTGGAGTTGGGTTTGGGGAGGGGAGGGGATGTTGATTTTTGTCTTTTTGTGGTTTTTCGTTTTGGATCGGTAGCTTTCGTCATGTGGTTTTGCTGTTGTTAATTTTACTTACATTCTGGGAAACACTGAAGGCATGGGATGAGCTATTAAGTTCACAGGTGCCCGCTTCACCATGCTCGCAGCAGATGATAGAATGCAGGTGATCCTGCTGTCCACGTCTTCATTGGCAGGGTTCTCCTGGTAACGGAGACGTCGAAGGATTATGCATGTGGAAATTTTTACAGAAGTACTTTTTGCGCTCGTTCTGTAGATGCCTGTAAAATCGGTGTGGATGTACAGCAATAAATGTGTTGTGGGAGAGAGAGAATGTGTACATTCTCTAAGTTTTTCTTTTCAGTTCTTAGCATCAGTCAATGAGTAAGATTTTGGAGACTTTAATGAAAAGCTGCTGTTGATGACTTTTGTGTATAGTGAGCCGACTGTAGTATTCTACTATTGTCTGTTTAAAAAGAAAAAGAAAAACTGTAATTTATATCCCCTTTCAACTTTATTGTATTTAATTGGTACAGATTGTGTGTGTGTGTCTGTGTGTGCGTGTGTGTGTTAGAATACAGACTGTCTAATTCAGATTTTAAAACATCGGTTGTTTGTCTTTAATAACCCTGCCAATTAGCTTCAGATCTAATTTCCCGTATTGGTACGTATATATACGTGTCTCCATAGTTTGAAGGGTAATAGTAACAGCCAATATTCAATAGTAACAGCCAACTGTACGAGGCACGGTTCCCAGCATTTGAAACATAGCATCTTGCTTAATCCTCACAGCAGCGGATGCCATAGGCGCTGCTGTTACGTATGAGGTGTTTGATGATGGAAAACCGAGGTCAGAGGGGTGGGTCAGTGGGACGGCGACATATCCGGGATTCAGCCTGTGCTTCCATCAGTCTCCTCCCCGTGTCGTGTCTGTGACGTATCATGGAAGAAGAGGCCTCTGACGACAGGGCACCTCCAGAGTACGGAGGGGGCTGTGCTGAGTCCCACGACTTCTGAACTGACCAGCGCGACACCTGCAGCAGACAGAACAAAAATCTCCATGGCTCACAGTAGCCTTTCTGAAGAAGTCAAGAATGAGACGTAGTCAGGGCGCCTGGGTGGCTCACTCGGTTAGGCATCCAGCTTCTGCTCAGGTCATGGTCTCACAGTCTGCGGGTTGGAGCCCCACGTCGGGCTCTGTGCTGACAGCTCAGGGCCTGGAGCCTGCTTTGGATTCCGGGTCTCCCTCTCTCTCTGCGTGCCTCCCACCCCCTACTCGTGCTCTGTCTCTCAAAAAATAAATAAAAACATTTAATAATAAATAAAGATAATTAGGTATAGCTTGTCCTGGACAGACGAGTGTCTTTCGTAGACTTCCAGGAGAAAGCAGAGAGCGGGGAAGGCCCAAAGTTATTTGAATTTTATAGCATAGGATCAAGGAGGAAAACAGTTATTTGGTATTTAAATAAGTGATGACTACAAGTAGAATTCAAGACAAATTGAGCAAATTGTCATTCCTTCTCCTAGAATGAGATCATTGGTATTTGGTCACCAACTTTGTCATTATGACTTGGGAAGAGCAAACGGGTTTTAGCATATCAGATAGTTAAGTACAGGCATGTGTTTGACAGCTGATTTCCAAAGTACAGTATTACTAGTGTCCTCACATTTGTTGACAGTTATTTGGACACACATTTTACCATAACAAAAATCTAGTCTTGTGTTTCTAGGGCACCAGCTTTTGGGAAGAATGACTTCATAAAAATACCTTTAGAGTTAAGGAAGAGCAAGATAATACTTCTGCTTAGATAGCTTTAGTCAATACTTATTCTAACAATTACAATATTTAAGCTTTTTTTTTTAAGTTTACATATTTATTAAGAGAGAGAGAGAGCAGGCGCACACACATGCTTGCACATGCAGGGAAGGGACAAAGAGAGAGGGAGAGAGAATCCCAAGCAAGCCCTGTGCTGTCAGCGCAGAGCCTGATGTGGGGCTTGATCCCACGGACCATGAGATCATGACCTGAGCTGAGATCAAGAGTCAAATGCTTAACTGACTGAACCACCCAGGTACTCCTACAATATTTAAGCTTTAGAACAGTTTGGGGTGGGGGAAAGACAACTATTGACATGATTAATCTTTATTTTTAAAAAATAAAGTTCTCTGGTATATCATCAAGAAGTCCCGAAAGAAGATGTGATTGAAAAAGAGTCCTTGCTGGCTTTTCTGAATGAAAAGAGCTAAAAATAGAAAAATATGCCACCAGGGCACAGTGATGTAGAGAATTTTTGCGTTCACCCTTGAGCTTGCTTATTTCAGTAACATGAGCACAAGTTTCTTTGCATAATATTGGGCATATCTCCTATGTTGAAAAATAACAAGTCAGCCTGTAATACTCAGCTACTCCAGCCTGGAGGGAAAGCAGTGTGTTCTAATGCCCAGCAGTGCCCTGGCAGACAGCTTGGGGCTACTGCAGCATCTCACTAGTGGGGAGCCTGGACTGTGGAAGGCTCCACAAGAAGGCCATGCCAGCAGGCAACTTCTGCCCTTTAAAACAGTATGAACTGGAATGAAACAAAATTCAAAATTCAGAAATTTAACCTGCTTGTCACTTGTTTCTAATCCCCTGAGGTAAGGGGAAATATCATTGTAGATTTGAGTGCCACTTAATGGTCATTTTCCCCCCCTAGATACAGTGAGTTGAGTTGAAATAAAACTTGGTCTTTATCTTTCAGATGTGCTGGGACACACACTGACCTCTGTGTACTCTTGGAAAAAGTTCTGTTTCCCCTCTATGATGCTCACTAGGTGCCTGGGTCATTGCACACAGTTCTTAGAAGACTGTGACTCCGGAAGATGTTTTGGGTGCCCCAGTCACCGTAACCTGAGCCCAGTTGGCAATGACCACCATCTTGAAGCTAACTGTAGGTTTTCTCAGTGCCGGATTGTCCCTGAGAAAGGAATTCTCAAATCCCTATGGGACCCTCATCACGAAGACACTCAGAGGCTGATGAACAGAACAGTGAATGTTCTACAAAGAAAGAGGTAAGTTTTGAAATTGGAGTCTCTGGAAGAAAATCAACTTGGAGAGGGAAAACAAAGTTCCAGTTTGGTTTTAGATAACATAAACCAACTTGACCCTTTCACATAACCAAAAACACCTGTAACTAGATTTTAAAACTGGAACACATGGGTGTTTATAACAACTTCAAACCATTATTTGGGGTCTTCCTTTCCTAAATATCTGCCTGAACCAAACCATACCAAGATGCTCTTATATTTCTTTGTTTTAGTTATGTCTTTACTTAGCCTAGAATGGGTTTTTGGGTACAGCCTGGAAGAGTAGATATGTTTTTCTTTGACTAAACATCTGAGCCAAAAGCCAGGCCTTCATGTAATTGGTTAGTCACTCTTGCCTGAATCCGCATAATTTGTACCTAGTGTATGGTCAACCACAAATGAGCCAAGCTATTTAAAAACACTAGAGTTAAAATGCTAGCCATAGCAACTGCTATGAAAGGAGCATCTTACCAAGAATGAGGCTGTAAGGTCCAACCCCAGTACCACTTGCATTCAAGACTGTCTTGATGGTATGGATGCCAATTTCCCACATTTTCCCCTTGCCCTTTTATATATAAAGGTACATATTTGTGAGAGAGCTAGAGTATTAGTTACCTGTTGCTGTAAATTGAAGTACTCTTAAATTCAGTGGCTGAAAACAATAATAAACCTCTCACGTGATTTCTGTGGGTCCAGAATTCAGGAGTGGCATTTCTAGGTCGTTCTGGCCACAGTGGCTCAGAGGTGGTAGTCACGGTGTCACAGCTGTAGTCACCTGAAGGGCACACTTGGGCCTGGAGGACGCACTTGTAGGGTGACTTACACAGCTGGCGCTCCCTCACCGTATAGACCCCTTCATGCTGCTTGACCTCATGATACGGTGGCTGGCATCCCCAGTGAGTGGTCCTGGGGGACAAACAGAAGCCACATTGCCTTTTGTGATCTAGACTCACAAGTCACATTGTGTCACTCCCACCACTTTTTGTTCATTAAAGTGAGTCATGAGACCAGCCCCCACTGAAGGGAAGGAAATAAGGCTCTTCCTTATGAAAAGAGGAATGTCTAAGAATTTGTAGACATATTTTTAAACTTCCATAGCTAGTCAGGAGTTACATAGCTGAGGCCATGGGCCAAAGCAAAGCTAACTAGAACTTATGACCGAATATAGGAATTAACTCTTATTTACATAAGCAATAGAGTCAAAAGGAAAGCCACATTTTCATGGAATAAAACACATATTAATAAAAAAGTGAAAATACTATGATTATTTGAATGTGTGAGTTATGGCCAGTAATCAAACTGCACCAATATTCCTGGGGGAGGCAAATGATCCCAAACTATTAATTATGTTTCTATTTATAGTTATGTTTTCACATTTGATTCTTTTCAGATTTGCTTCTTAAAGGCACAAGCACATGAATATATTTGATGGTTTTGCTCAACATAGGAAATGAGTCTTAGGAAATTCAAGCATATTTTTTTACTTATTAAGGCAAGTAATTGTAATGATTAGCTTTTGAAATAAAACTGCCAACAAAAGAAGGGTTTATAGGGTTTATTTTCTGAAGATACTGACAATGGTAGGATTATTTTATTATTAAAACGTGATACACACCCAAGTGTTTGGAAGTAAGCGAAAGGGGTTCAAAGCTCTTGAAGCTTATAAAATGAAACTTTAAAAATTTTTTTAAGTTTATTTTGAGAGAGATGGCATGCAAGTGGGGGAGGGGCAGAGAGGGGGAGAATCTCAGGCAGGCTCCGTTCTGTCAGCACAGAGCTCAACTCAGAGCTCAAACTCAGGAAACTGTGAGATCATGACCTGAGCCAAAATCAAAAGTCAGACTCGGAGCGCCTGTGTGGCTCAGGTCAGGATCTCAGTGTTTGTGGGTTTGAGCCTTCGGTTGGGCTCTGTGCTGATAGCTCAGAGCCTGGAGCCTGCTTTGGATTCTGTCTCTCTCTCTCTCTCTCTGCCCCTCCCCCGCTCACACTGTCTCACTCTCTCTGTCTCTCAAAAATAAACATTAAAAAAAAATTTTTTTTAAGGAGCCAGACTGTCAACCGACTAAGCCAGCCAGGTGCCCCTCTAAAATCCAAAACAGGATAACTAGAAAAAGAAATGTAAAGTGAAGGGATTTGGGGGGAGGAGCTAAGATTGCAGAATAGTAGGAGGACCCTAGGCTTGCCTCATCCCCTGAACACAGCTAGATAAGTCAAGTCATTCCGA